GGAACCCCACACGCCTTGGAAAAGGGAGCGCTGCAGCAGCACCCTCCTTGGAGAATAGCTGGGAAAACGGTGGACTCTACTAGTTTTTTTGTCGGTTTGTTTTTGATTTTAGGCATCTGATCACTTAGTAGCCTAGATTATAAAATCTGAAATATAAAGGTGGCCAGTAATATTTCAAAAAATACTCATACCAATGTTAGCTTCAAAAATGATGATGAAACGAGGTATTTGCCAGGCTAGTTCCAAAGAGTTCGTTTTCCTGTGGTGATGAGGCTTTTCTACACATTAACAAGAATCTATTTTTGAATGCACTGAAAATAACAGTTCATCTATCCACACCAGAATCCTTAATCTTTGAAGAGAAAAAAACACTCAATTTGTTTTAGTTTTCATAAGAATAAACAATTTTATTAGAAACTACTAATCTTTTAAAAAGAGCAAACAGACCAAAATGCTACGTTTCAGAAGACTTTGGACTTTTCAAAATATTCTTGCACTAGCAAATATAATGCAGTTTCATTTGTTTAAAAAGTAGTACTTCTTACTATAGCAAATGACCAAAGGATAACTGCAACTTAGGAGGTACTAAATGACACTAAGACATTACACTGAATGTGGGCCACTGCATAGCTACAGTCTACTAACCTCATTTGTGGTACTCATGTGTGATGCTATATTTAATGCATTCTTATCAAAAGGCTAAAGCTACATACTTCCCAACTGTAGCTTTATGGTTTAAAATAAACCCCTAGAGCAAGGATCTTAACTTGTTCAACTATGAACACTACCTCCCTTCTGGGGCTCAAAACCACAAAATTAGGAGTGAAAAGATGTTCGAGTAGTTATGCAAAATACATCCTAATGACAAGACTGTCGTAAAGGAATGGATTTAGGTGCGTCACTGACATCTGCTGCAATTGGGCAACCAAACCAAACTAAATCAGAGATGACCAATGTCTTAGTAGAAATACTTCATTCTTTAATCTCTGGATCGTACACTGAAGTAGCCTGCTTAGGTTCTGAACAGGAAAGTTTGGTACAACAAACTTTCCTCCTGACAAACTTTCCTCCTGAGATGGTGCTCCACCAAAATTTGCCATGACTCAAATGCCTAAGTCTAGTCAATGTAATTAGGCCTCTTTACCACATGAGGGTGGCTTCCTACAGTTGAGTCGACATGGAGAAAACCATGAAAGATGTCTCACCCAATCACAACCACGAGAAGAAACCACGAGTTGTGTTTTTCATTTGATACTCACCAGACAACACCAAAGGCTCCATATCCAATTGGTCTATCCGGCTCAATATCCAGCTGTTGTTGTGGATGATGCGAGTGCTGATGATGGTGCGCCTTAACTGTGGCAGGCGGCGGGGGCCCTTGCCCCAGCTGGGGGGC